AAACACATTGAAGCCATGATGCTTGCGCTAGTCGAGATACGAATCGATCGCAGGAGACTTGTCTATCGTTACACACTGAAAGAAATTTTATAGCTGGAAGCAAACTTTCGAAAAATGTCCTTCCAAACAGCATTTACCAACACTCGATTTTCAGCGAAATTGGACAACACCAAATCAGCAGACACTGTTACCTTCTCATCATCTTTTTCACTTCAAGAAGTATCAAAAACTCACATTCTACCATCTTGGCGAGTGCTACGTGAATCTCGCGTATCCGCGGGATTGGAAAAGACATATACCGGAAATGTGAATAATGCATGTGGGACTCATACCCACCTCCTAAAAATGTTTTTGAATAGATAAACATTTTCATAATTCATTTATAAGATTTATCTGTATTAAACGCAGCAAAAAGAGAATATGGAGTAAAAGCAGGATTGACGAAAAAAATGTTCTATTGAAGAAGACGTTTAAGAGAAAAAAAGGAAGCAAATGGCTTGGATACAAACCTTTACTTCTTGCATTTTGTGCAATCTGTTTAGCTCTTGTATCAATGATGGTACCACGATTCACCGTTAGCAACGATTTAAGTATATTTTCGTCTTCTTTACAACGTCGATTTGTTGGACCAATCAATGGTTGGCCACATCGCATTATGGAAGACTGTAAAAAAGAGCTTAAAACTCTACATTAAAGAAAGGTCAACACAAGCAGAAAGTAATGTAGGCCTTCCTTTGGCTATCTAATAGCTACTCTTGTATACAAAAAAATGATGTACAGAAAAGCCTCACGATCTTTAGAACGCACTGCAGAAAAAAGGTGTCAACTGAGACTGTTTTTTGATAAAGCAACACATCAAAATGATTTATTATGAACTAGCATAAAAAAAAGCACATTGAACTCACTTTCGTACTCTTGTGGTAGTAACTTAGAACGGGAAACCGGGATCCGTCACGAAATGTCGCAGAAATTCGCAAGTAATCATCGCCTATTCCCTTGGGCACTATAACTTTCTCAGGATATGACGGGCATACCTGGAGAACATGTGGTATTACCGACCAATTAATTGTAGAAATCCTATCAATGAAGATTTTATGTGAGGGCAAAAAGATTTGAATTGCTATGAATGATGCATATCACATTTGATGTGGTAATTAATAGAACTATGTAGATAACGAACCGTAAATCCCTCATTGACGCTACTGATTCGAAAAGCGTCACTACATCGAAGAACAAGACGAGCGAACTCCTCTTCAGAATCGAAAGCTTTCCAGCCATCATCCAAAACTTGGAATGGGCAACGGTAGTAGAAAGGGTAGTCGTGCGAACAGCCATCTAAGAGAAAAAGCCTTATAAGTACCAGAGAGAGCATTAAATGCTCACTTATATTCGATAAAGTCTCAATTGAGCGAGCTGCAGCATTGCACTCCTCCCAATTTGGAATCTCGAATATTATTATCTGGAAAATTAAAAAGCGCAATCAACAAAATCATTGCATCTTCAAGCAGCAACATAATACCATATATTAATGACACAGATCTTTGACATATTTGTGAGAAATTATGACCCTTTTAACAAAGTTAAAACACCTTCATTTAGTTGCTCGGTGAGGAAAATAAATAGCAGGTACAGATGCTACTACCACTACAACAACTATTCTCGTTGTTGTACTTACTGTTTTTTTTCACATTAGCATTACTTCTATGTTGTTATTTACTGCTGCTACCCCATCAATTGATTTCAAAAATTTTACATCAACCTACCATGAAGTTCTTGCATTTCAATGCAAGTAATCCACCTTTCGATGGCTGGTCTTTACTTATAGGTTCGCATAGCACGCGATCAACAGCAC